ACCAGGACAGAAGTAAACTGAAGACCTTCAGACGCCTGGCACTGAACTTCCCTTTCACTGCTCCCATCCACAAGAGCCTCCCGGGCCATCATCCACATCCCCCATCCATTTGTGTTTTGAGCAGCCATTCTCCCCACACCCTTAGCTCCAAGATCTTTGTAGATTTCAATATGTGAAGTATAGATCTGTCCTTATTTACAGCAAAAAACAAGTGACTGAATGTAAAACAACGTTTAATAAATCTGCAGAGCCTAAAGTACCAATATAATTCCGAGCAGGAAGATAGACATGCACTCCTTAATTAAGTGGGTGATGTTCTAGTTAAAACAAAAAGACAACCCTGGGCCATAGCTGAGATTAAGCACATTCTCTTGCAAAGGAAGCTCTGACTATTATCGATGTAAAGGCTTTAAATCACAAAAAATAAACCATCTAATAGTCTGTATTCAATAGTAAGTAGAAAGTCAGGACACAGACTGATTTGGATTAACACATTTTCAGTTATAACAAGTAATTTTACAGAGGATTAGTATCTTGATGGTCTGATCAATACTAGGCACTGCTGCTATTACAGATGAAGAGAAAATTACCCCTCCAGTAATAAAGTGTGTGTCTCGGTTCTCCTTCATTTGCCGAGTCCATTACTGTAATGGTTCCAGCATTAGCAGCTGAGGCAATTTAAACAGCAGGAATGTGATGAATTTAAAAGCAAGAAACATTTGCCACTCATTCTTTCTTGTATTTTATTCTGCATATGCAAGGCTTCTACCTGACCGTTTCCAATATACAAATCATGTGTTATGTGGCTATCAACGCTATTTCTTAATTATTGTCCCATTAATAATGGGAAGGTCCAATAATGTGATTACCACAAAAATTGCTACTGGCATATTGGTTGCTGATTCTGCTAAAACTTGCACACCATTTACCTAAGCAGAAATATGACATGACAAGAAGCTTATTTAACTGCATCTAAGCTGTTTCATTAATTTTCCTAAATACAATTTCTAAAAGAATCTAATCTGTCAATTAGAAAATTTTGTTTTCTTTGGTTCTTTTTAATAATAGTTTTTATCTAAAGAGGTAGAACAATCACCAGAAACAATAAATCATTGTAATTTTAGAACAAACCATGGTAACAATGGTTAAAGTTTTAAACTTCATTGTATGGTACAGGCACCATCATTCAGCTTTAATTCTAAAAACCAAACCTTAACCATTCTTTGAAGTGCTTTGAGAATACTTGTCTAATTTTCCTTGAGCATTAATATGTTGAAGCAACCTGGTTTATCTTGTAAAGATGTATTATTTTGCAGGCAGCAAAAATGAGGATGATGCAGGAAATAAGACCTTCAATGATATCTCAGCCAAAACTCAGTATATTCCCTTTTTCTCCTTGTAAATAAAATACATACAGAGCTTTGTCTTATTTAAAGCTTTATATTTCCTAGCCACTTTGTCCAACATGTCTCACAAATGTGATACTGCATATGAATATCTTTGTAAAAGCTCTTGTGAATATTCAGATATGTGCACATTGATGCATTTATTATTTGTACAGCAATAAATTTATTGGACTGGGGTCCCAGCTGTGCTTGGAGCTGTACAAACATAACAGTAGTGTCTGTGGAATACATTCTCTGCAGTCAGTATTCACAGTAATGTAAATTAGCATAAACAGCTACATAAGGTAATTGTGAACTGGCTTTAGTGGTTTATTCCAAAGAACCTCAAGGCAATACCTTTACTTTAAAAGAAAATAATACTCCACACTAGCTGAGTATTCTCTTTCACCTGATAATGGCACCTGGTAATGGGTGTTAACATGCAAGAGTGGTAGAGGAAGCATATACAGGAAATAACCAGAACTTGGCCTCTCTCATACTGAAACTTACTTTAAAAAATCCACTTTGAATAAATAAGTCTCAAAAACATTAAGTCTTACATTAAATAATAACTTTTTAAACTCATCAATCCAGATAATAAACATTCTAAAAGCAAAAAGCTTTCTTCCCAAGCCTAAAAGGAGCAAATTGCCTACTTTGATCACCAAATAGGAAGTTCGTTTGGTTTCACTTTGTACATTTCACATTTGTACATTTCTACACCCAGTGAAAAAGAAGTGACCAACTCTGACCAACAGTGTAAAGAAAAAAGACTCAAAATAACTATAAACTGTATTAATTAAGATGGAATTCTAAGCTAAAACAAACAAGCATGAACAATCCCACAACAGACTGTTTCATAAAAATGCCTTTTCAGCTAATGAGCAACATCTACTCTAACAGTTCTGGTTTTATGCAGAGAAGTAATATTTTCTATGGGGAAGACAGAGTAGTTGATGCCTTGCAACAGCTCCAAAGGTATATTTGGAAACTTCAGAGTAGTTGTGTTTTGCTGTCCACTTAAGACTCACAGAAATATTCTACAGGACATTAGCATGCCACATGTGGTGTTTAGAACAGATGAGTAGTTGACTTCTGGCTATGGTTTTCCTACTTTTTTTCAGATCCTCTTCCCAAGAATGAGTTTGCATCCTCCTCCTCTTGTCTTGGAACACATACTAGCACAAACAATTTCATTTCTGCTACACATTTAATCTTACTCAACCCAACTGAGTGATCTGCAAAGTGGAAATTGCTGTATGACAGCACTGCACTCTACAGAACTTCTACCACATGTACTTGGAACAGAAATGTTCTTCTATAACAGCATAGATCAAAACTTGCTATATATACAAGAAAATTCGAGCCAGAGAAAAGTTTATCACATATAAGAAACATACTACATAATTACAAAGCAAAAGCCAATCAGTGGGATTCTGACAGACAGCATTTAACTGTACACAATTACAGCAAAACAAGAACTTTTATTCAGGATTTAATTCTGGAAAACAAGATACTTTGCCAGAAGACACATAATCCAAACCAGCTTCTTTACCCAACCACTTCCCTCTCCGTAGTAGGCCTCATAAATCTTAGTCTCCAGAAGAGGCTGGGTTAACCTCACTAATATTTGGTTTGCTAAAAAATATTTTAATCAGTATCTAAATGGAAGTCTTGGCAGAACTGCCACAATAAAGACACTGTTCCTTGGTCTTCAGCATTTCTCAGGTGATCAAAATAAGCTAGGAATGGCTACACCCAAGGACTGAAGGGTGACTTGACACACTGCCAGGAGCACAGAGATTACATCTCCAATCAAGTTGTAGAAAATAATCAGTATGAGGATGCTTCCATGGGGAAAAAACCCCAACAGCATATCCCCTCCTTTTCCCATTGCTGCTTTCTCCTTTGGCAGCCTTTATTCTAAGACATTCTATAGGCTCATTTTGCTTCACTTTCAATACACTAAGCTTCTCTCAAGTAGTACCCAGCTTACCACATCCCTCTAAGGCCTTCTGTAAGTATTGACACCTTTAAACACTCTGTAAGAATCTTTTATCTTTCATCCCTCTCTGTGCACCCACAACATCCAGTTGTGTCTACAGCAGTACTCTTGCACTTAACCTCAAGTTTTTCTCATACATTGTTCCTGACATCTCTTCAAGTGCCTTTCCTCCTACAGCCTTTGCCAATTTCATTCACAGCACCATCCTTTCACCCCTCACAGGTATCCCTGAGCTATTATCTTATCAAGGGCCATTATTCCTTGATTATTCCATCCTAATTAAATTCCCAATATTCCATCCTAATGCAAATGATCCCCAAATACATTCAAAAAGACCCATTGACAAGACAAAGGCCCTTGGACGGACAGCACAAATGTACAGGCTAAACCAGTTATGGGTTGAGGTTTTTTCTGCAACGTATTGGATGGGACATCTGCATATGTTTTGACGTAAATGGAAAGGGGAGAACACAAATGTAACACTGAAATTGCTGTCCCTCGGTAACTTGGGATAGTAGAAAGACAAATTACAAAATGCCCAGGTAGTTCTTAAGGAGTTGTTATGAAACTTACTAGGGCAAAGAGGCCCTACAGTTTTCTAGTTAAATACTTAGTTGGAAACTTACATCAGACCTTTTCCCTGCCTTTGCGGGGAACAGTATATTTAATAGTGCAGAGTAAATTAACAGCAATACCAAAACCAGCACAGTCTCTGTTCAGGTGTATGAGATCAGCATTTTCAAAGGCATTTTCTCAATTTATAATGGAATTAGCCTTCCTTTCACTAACACCTCTAATATCAGTACCGTGTTTTCAAACAAGTCACTGGTTCTCAGTACTACTGTTTTGTAAACAAAATCAGCACAAGTACAACAACCATTAACAGCTGAAGTAAAATATTGTACAATGTAGTAAAACAGGCCTTTCAAAGACACCTGAAACAGCAAACATTCAGCACTCCTGTTTGCTTCCACAGACAGTGAAATAGCATCTTCAGTATAAGCGTGGAACAGCATTGCATCTAAACATGTGAGCAAGAAAAGAAACATTATAAAGCTCGGGCAGCACAAGAGACTTAAAAAAATTTATTTAGGTCAGGCTTAGTGTAGAGTACTTTTAAATTTAAGAATGAGGAGCAGTTACACAGTGCATCATCTCACTGTGAATGTTTCGGCCAACACAAACACACACTCCATAATTTTTCGTCATATACCACAGAACTCTCTTTTAAACTGAAATATCGTGCCCAGCTGGCACACGCCTTTACCACTAGCTCCTGTTAACGCTGTACGAGGTGCCCCTCATTCTGGAGAGGGGGATCGGGCATTTCCAGCTCAAGCAGAGCCCGCAGCCCGGGGGAGCCCCGGGGCGGTGCTGGGCACACGCGGCCGTGCGGAGCTCACCCCGGAGCTCACCCCGGGGCCGGGGCTCCCTCCTTCTCACTATGAACTTCACGGTGGCCTCGCAGTCCCCTCGCTCGGGGCTCCAGCACTGGAGCTACCGGAGCCCCGGGGGCTCTGCCCCGCACAGCCCCACGAGCGGCGGAGAAGGCTGGCCACGGGCACACACGCTGCTCGGGCTGCGGGGAGCAGGAAGCAAACGGAAGGTACCTTCAGCTCTTTCTCCCGCTCCCCTGCTCTCCTCTTCATGGTGCCGCCTTAGCCGTCCGCCCGGAGCGGAGCGGCACCGCGGGAGCCCTGCGCAGCTCGGCCGACAGCGGCCAGACCGCAGCTCCGCGGGCAGTGCGCAGCCCCGCCCCGAACTTCAAGTCCCGGCAGGCCCAGGGCGGCCCGGAAGGGGAAGGGCCCGGTTGGCAGCGGCGGTCGCTGCTAACGGAGCGCTCAGGAGCCCAGGGCTGGCGGGGGCTGTGAGTACCGGGGGAGCTTCTCCTCCTCCGGGCACGGAGCGGGGCGCTGGAGCTGCCCGCGGCTGTGGCGCCGTGTCCTGCAGCGGGCGGTCCCCAGCGGGGCTGACGGGACCCGCGGGGCTGCCGGCGGCGGTTCCGAAGCCGAGCGGCTCCTCCTCGCTCGGTGCCCGGGGGAAGGGGCTGGAGTCTCAGCGTTTGGTTCAGAGGAGCCCCGTAGGCCTGTGTTCGTACCGGGCAGGGCCGCTGGACTGAAGCGGGAGCTGGGCTCCTGTGCCCGAGGGCGCTGTAGGCGTTCCTCCAGGAGGCGAGCGCTGCCCTCCCTGCGGGCCTGCCCCTTCAGCCCTGTCTGGCACTGCCGCAACTGGCGCGGCTCAATCAAAACTAGGAAGCTTTGTACAGTATGTGGAAGGCAAGACACGGTTGTTTGGATTTTTCTGTGTTGAAGTAGAACTTACAGGTCTGAGAGATGTTTCTTCCCATAGGATGTTGTGATCCCATTTCCTAACATCTTCCATGTTTTCTCTCCTTTTTTTCCCTGTCTGCCTCCCAAAACGCACAGCACTGCAACGCATGTATTTGAAAGGTGGTATGTGTGTATATTTCTACCAGATAATAAATGAGTTTATTCTGGGTTACTAGACCAATAAAGTGCAAATATGTACATTATAAAGACTCAATAGAGGAAGAACATCGGCAGGGAATACCTTATGATAAGCTAAGATAGGTGGGTGGTCCCTCCCACCTCCTTTTTTAAATTCCCTCTACCGGGGAAGTGGGATTTTGTAACAAAAGTATCATCTTGGCCATGTCTGATGCTCAAATTCAAAAACCCTGTTGAAACAATTAAGTTGTAGTTCTTCTGCTTTCACTGGAAACCCCCTCACTGCAAGTCACCTATATCCCCATTGACTGAGAGCTTTCAAAAGATTAAGGAATCCCTGCTCAGTTTTGCTACCTTTGAATGATATTGGTACAAAAGCACACTTCTGTGAGTTGTATAGGAATCTGGACCTAAAGCATGAGCTTTGATAAGTATTAATTTTATTAGTGTCAGACTTGTATAGCAGTGCAAAGTTGTGTGCAGTTCTTTGTTGTAAATTTTCAGATACAGGTAGTAATAGAACCACTTTTGTAGGCAGTGAAGTGTGTAAGAGAGTTAGAGTTTCTTTAACTTTAGTAGTTACATGGAAAATTCTTGCTTATACCTTGCCTGAAGTTCTTACAGGTTAATCCCAGAGATACGGGGAAAATTCCTCTCTTTGTACACTGAGCTGTCTAGTTTTGAGAAATAATCTGTGCTGAAGTGATTGTAGGGTATCCTTTCTTGGAAATAAAGTCTGGTTTAAGTTTTTAAGGTTGAGGATGGCATGTGGATCTGTCCAGATGCAAATACAAATTTATATCTCTCTCACTTTGTTATGCTTTCTTTGAGGAAATGCTACACTTTTAAGTACCATAACTTTTGTAGCAATGTTGCTGTACAGTTTTGTCAGATGTAATCACTTTGGAAATGCTTTCATAAAGTAATACACAATGCCATGGAGAAATTTCATATGCTTTTAGAAATAACGCTGGAACTGGACTGCAAGGAAAAGTAATTTTGTTTAAGTGTTTGTGATTGACACTCAGATAATATTCAAAGAGGAGCTGTAACATATGTAACACATGCTTTGATGTTTGAAGTGTCCTCTCTCAAAGCAGCAGCATAACTGGTGGTTATTAGTGATTATTAAAGACATGGGTATGTTACTAATCAGGCAACTAAGTTGCCAAGCCAAATTCTAAATCTGTAATTATATTTGGCCTCCTTAAAATGAGGAGACATGTTTGTACTATTTCTGTCTAAAACCACTGTATCTGATAAAACCAATTAATATGGTTGATTTTTTCATTTTATTTTTCTGTAGCCCATGACAGAAAAGATAGCTGAATGCTTGGTTTCTGACACTTTGTAATGGAAATGAAACAATTCTTCTTCTTCCTTTTGAAAATCTGACCTTCTAAGTTTTCAGGACAGTTTAGATTTGAAGTTGCTTTATTTTGTCACTTCAAATCATGTCATGTTGCCAGTTAAAATTGGCTTTGTGTGCATCTTTGCTGTGTTAGTTTGCTTACAGCTCAAGTATTTCTGTGGTTTTGCTGCAGCCAGTAATGGATTACTACTGACAAAAGTTGTTTGTTTATTTGAGTGACAAGCATGTGTTGTTTTGTCTCTGGTTTTACGTGAGTAGGTTTCTCTCACACTGAAGATAACAGGCAGGTATCCATAGTAAAGTTTCTTCAGCAAACAGTGAAAGCCAGTAATGTTTGTCCATGCCTGTTACTGTTCTGGAGTTTTTGAAGCCTGATTTTGATAGATAACAAACATTGTGGAGTCAAGCTGATAAAATACTTGTTTAGCTCTTGAGGCCCAAAAAAGCCTCTGTCATTTTAAATTTGTGAAAGCAAGGACAACCACATTCAAGAAAGATGTACAGTGGTACCTTCTCTTTGCTATCATCATGAATCAAATTTAGTTGATCCTCTGGAGGTAAAATGTCTGTTTCCCTTTGATCTCAGTTGCTGTAGCCATACTGCTTCAGGGACATAAAATAGTTACCACAATAATGAACCTAGACCTGAGTGAAGCCAATGACGTCAGATAGAGCTAATTTAACAAATGACAAAGAAGTTTGGAGGATTTTGTAAGAGCAAAAAGCACCAAGGATGCTGAGGAACTGGATTCCAGTGGATATGTGTTTGCATTGCCAATTGTGCCATTGGCTGAGTGGTGTGGACATCAACATCCCAGAGAAGTATTCTCTGTCACTGCCAACATTGAAACTGCAACCATATTGCAAATCTACAACTGTAGATCAGTTCACTTCTATGGTCATGATAAGGAAACATTTGTTCCACATGGAAGAAAAATGTGTTCCTGTTTATTCATAAACAGTGAAGTCTGGAAATAATATTTTATCATAAATTTTAGTGATGAAAAAACCAGAAGATTAAAAGCAAGACTGACTTGTTAGAAACTAAATTTCCATTAATCCCTTTTGTTTCTTTAGAACAAAGCCATAAGGAGAGTTATTTATGATGGAAGAAAAAGCTTAGGCAGCACTTTTGATTATGATTGAATTAACAGATATTTCATGGGCTGTCTGTTGATTGTACCTTCTGCCTTCTGATGCAAATCTCTAGTAGCATCACTGTTAATTTTCCAGTGCTTTCCTAGATGGTTGTGGATTGACTGAGGATTTATATCACCTGAGGAGTGTAACAGTGGTTTTGGGGATAAGACTGTCAAAAGGACTTCATGTCTCTCTTTTTCCTGTTGTTTCAGCATTATTTGACTCAGTGACCAACATGTAATTTTCTGCACCAGAAGATAAGAAGGAAACAGCAGTTGTTAAGAAGTATGTTCATATATTACACCAAAACAAATGTAGTACTTTTTCACATTAATACTTTCCTAATCTCACTTTGTCATGTAGCTAAGCTTTCTGTTGCTGCAAGATAGAAACGTGTTCAGATTTATAAGAATCATTCATAGGAGACTTTCTGTCTTAAAAAGTAATTTCTTATATGACAGTGATTGAAAGAAGACTGGGAGAATGCCAGACAAGACTGGAATGCCTTCATAACCCCCAGCACCTTTCAAAGACTTCCATTCAAAACATGGAAGATGGCATTACTCATCTACCATTCAATGCCTTGAGCTTTTACCTCTCTTAAAATGAACAAACAATTTTAAAAAACCCAACTAAACAAAAAACCGACAGGTCCCCTTCCCACATCCACTTGGAAATATGGCCTTAACCCAAAGATTCCTGAAAACAACAGAGCTAGAACTTAAAAAGCTGTTTGTACATATATTAAATAGAATTGGAGCTATTGCTCAACAAAGGTGTATCTTTTGAATGGATTGAAACTGGCATAAAATTGAGAACTTCAGAGTTTAGATTGCAGTCTAGCTGAAATACTATTCAGAAGTCTGTCATTTCAGTGAATCTGCCATAACTTTTGCCTTCATTTCATATGGTGTATTGTTCTAGTCTCAGTTTAAATAACAGATGAAGAGGAATTTCATTTGAATTTTGTTATCCCTAGATAAGCCATGCCTGCTGCAGCTGATGTAACTGTGGGGGACCTGCCTGTGAGACATACAGGTCTAACTCCAGCTGGAACTGAAGGATTACAAGGTTTGTACCAGCTGCTATTTATTACAGCTACAGACTTTGATCAGTGGCTTCTTTAGTTTCTTTCTAAAAATGTTTCTGATGTTGCCACTCACAAAATTAAGTTCAAATACCATTCAAAATCTGGGTTAAATTGTGAAAGATGCTGTGACCCATTCTATGTTCAAGTTGCTTGTTATAAGAGGGGAGTTGCTGTGAGATGGTAAAAACTGAAAATGTCATTGAGCTGTAACATTCATACTTCCAGAAGAAAAGAGGATTTTTTTGAACCAAGGACAAGGCCAGATCAATTTCACAAAATGGGAACCAAAAGTATTATGCAATTCTGCTATGTCACTCAGCTGCTATTAGAATGGAACAACTGGGCTCAGTCTTGTATCTGAGTAAATTTACAGAATTATGAGTTATTATTTTCAAGCTTCAAGATACTATGTTAACTTTGGAACAGATTAGAAAAAATCCCTTAGGTAATCCTTATTTTGAGATAGCATATTTGGCAGAACCTGGTTACTTGGTAAACAGTTACCTTTGTGTTGTCTAGTATGAAAACAGGTTGCTGTATAATTTTAATTGCTTTTTTTTTTAATCTGTAAGAGGAAGGAAAAAGGAAGTGATTAAAATGACTATAAATCCAAAAAAATTAACAGACTCATACAAGTGTAAAATATAAAATTACTTGAAAAGTTGGGAGGGACTCAGTATTTCATAATGACTTTTGACTTTGAGCTACATGTTGTTGAATGTATTGAAGGTAATTTAAAGTTGTCTTGGTTTGGGTAGAATCATGAACTGCACAGAATATGAAAGCTCAACGAACCAGGTAACAAACCAGTCAAGAAGAACTGGAGGACATGTTTCTTCATGTACATGATGATCACATCTTACTCCAGCAGCATAAAAATGAGCAAGAGGAAAAAACTAAAAGGTATGAAGGTTAATACTTTTATTTTAGCTTACAGTAATATTTTTGTCCTTTAAAACATCAACAAATTAAAAATGCTGATTTCTTTCAGAGCACTTTTTAAGCAGTAGCAAAAATTTCTCTTTGGAATGAATTTTTAATTTCTGGTTATGTCTGTATGTATATCTTTGTGGTGGACTGTATTAGATCTCCCTGCACAGAGCTACAGTGCTGCCTGTCACTTTGGAGCTGGTACCTTGTGCTCAGAGCTGTGCTGCTAGAGTGTTCTGGTAACTGTAGAAAAGGGTATGGAAGCCTAATGATTCATTAGGAATTTCGTTCTAGAATCAAAGTTGTCTATAGCGTGAGATTCCACCCCTGTTATTAAACTCAGTGCTGTGCTGGCAAACCAGTATGGGCTCAGCAGAAGTGTTCATGGTATTACTGCCTTGCAGGAGGGCTGATTAATCCAAAAGCACTGTGACTCTGTGCTCTGTCACTGACAACATTGAAACTGTTAACTGTTATTAAGTACATTGTGCTGTACTTAATAAAGTTATGCTGCATTCAAACAAGGTGTCAGAAACTAAAAGATTCACAAAAGGGCATCTGAAAATATTGCTTCTGTAGATGGGACTATTTCATAATTTTTTTAAGTCCAAGGAATTCTTTCCTTCTGACTCAGTATTCAGTGAGTCAGGAACAAATTGAGCAGCATGACATAACTTCCATCTTTTCTGTCAGGCTGTTGTCAAATCCAAGATGGTGGAACAAATGAATTGTTTGCTTATTCCAAAGGGATTTCCTGTGTTTCTGTTAGATGCCTTACCAAATGCACTCATCATCCACAGGTAGCATTACACAGAATGTTCAAATTGGAATACCTGAATTTATGCTTTATGGCACAGAAAATAAAAAATACAATGTTTGCTAGAGAAAAAACTTAACTCCTCAAGTTGAATTTCTTTTCCAGCATTCCTTGCCAAAACCCTTTTAACTAGAAGTTTGGAATGAATTTGCAGTAGAAGAACATTGAAAAAACTCCATGTAAACAAAAAACCTGCTTACAGACAAGTAACATTCTGTGACATCCTGAAGTTATTAGGGATTTTTTTTTGTTTCACTTTTGTTCTTTTAAGTAGCTTCTGTCCACAAGTATACAAAAAATAAAACAAGTCCCTTTAAACAAATGAAGTGTGTCCTTATTTTCAGTTTTCTTTCTAGGCCTTCAAAAATAAATTTCCTGTAAACTAGATACAGGTCTCAAAGATGTGCAACCGACTTTGTAAAGTCTTGAACTTGTCTCTCTCATCAAAGCCACCTTTTCTTTCTTTATATGCCAGGTTTTTTGCATTCACTTCTGGGTATGTTTTCTGTTCATGCATGTTACATCACCCCCACGTGCCCTCACTGCCTTTTGTTCTAGCTTACCAATGTTTATCAGAACCAAGGGAAATCAAAGGTACAACCTTTCAGATACCAAAAGCAAAATTTGTATCCTTCTAAAGACAGATGACAGCCATAACCTCTGTATCTAATTATATTCTGCAGCTAACTGTTCCTTCTCCAAAGCACACTGGAAATATTTGCCATGTAGTATGGTAATGAGAACTATTAAGTTTTTTTTGCCAGAGTACCTTCTTAAATATCTCCACCTATATATTTCAGCCACTTTAGACATGGAATATATATTTAAATCCCAAAATACTAGAAATTGTATATAATTGGAATGTTGCATGTTATTAGCAATCTTTCAATAGCTGAATGTTCTGTGGAATTGGAGCTTTTATAGTTTGCCCCACCACATCTCAAATCTGTAACTTCACTTAACAGCATGCAGAGGTTCCTATATAAGGTCATGCGTTAAAAATTACATTTAAGCACCATATGGAGTAAATATGTGTCCTCCCTTTGCTAACCTTAAATGATAAGCCTTAGGAAACTGTTATTTGTCAGTGCTATAAAGCAGATTGCTGCACAGTGGTTTCAATTATCTTCAAAGAGTTCTTCACAGGCAGTAATAGTTATATCAAAACCTGAAATTTATTATTCAGGTTCTATGCTGAAGTCTTCACAGTGATTATGTTCCTTTCAACAGAATGCTTTTTATGCTGACTTTTCACATTCTTTTTCATCTTTTTTATTATTTTCCCCAGAATGACCACCAAGTTAATACAGCTTGTTAATGATAGAAAAAGTCTGAACAGGTTGGTGGCGGCCCCAAGTGGCTGGGTCAGGCCTGGAGCTGGAAGGAAGGATTGTGCATTGACAAGAAAAAGTTCATGAGCCTGAGAAACAGAATGAGAGCCTCCCCTTTCAGCTGACCAGCAGCTCCAGATTCCAGGCCACAGACCTTGTCCATCCAGCTGGGTTCAATCTTTTATTAGCAGTGCTCTCAGAAAAGTGAGCGAGGCTGCTGATATGCCAGAGCACACAAGGAAAGGTGTAATTCACATTTATTAAAAACAATGGTTTATATCCCTAACAATTGCTTCACTGTAGCAAGTCCATGCTGGTTTTTGTTCATCAGTGGGCAATAATAGTACCTGTAGGCAGAAAGGTTGTTCTTTCCCCTTGTTCTTTTATTTATTTATAGCAGCCATGATAACTTGCTTGCCTTTGAAGTCCTTATTATGAGAATCCACAGTAGTTGGGGTTAAACAAAAGTACAGATTTGAGAAGACAGTAGCTATCAGGCAAGTTTTCTAATAGTTAAAATCATTGGACTTCCTTAGTAAAACTTCTCTACATGTTAAAGGGTTATAAAAGTAGTATATGAAAAAGTTTAGTGGTTTTATGTAATAACAAAGTTTCACATCTGTACTTTGTTTGCACATGTTTTTCCTTTTTTAATTTCAAGGTTTGTTCTAGTCTTTTGATACATGTGTGCACAGCACTGCAGACTTGAAAAATCTCTCACACGTGTGGGCTTTGAAAAGCAAATACTACAATGCAGCCATCTATAATGGTGCTTTTTACTGTTGAGACTTTCTGCTTAAGGCAGACTCCCTCTCAGGCCTTTACTCACTGTAGTTACATTGGGAAATCACACTTTAAAACTTTCATATATTCATAGGAACATTTGTAGAAGTAGTTGTAATCAGTTAACCTATACACTGAACTGCTAATGTATTTTAAAAAACCCCAACAGCTACAGCACTGATTCAAACCTGAGTCAGCAGAATTGTCTCCTTAACTTCCAGAAATCATGGATGAAGCTGGTGGCCAGTTACACCCTCACACCCACACAGTCTTCATTTTTATTACATTGATTCAGGTATATGATAACGGCAACAATTCTCATGTTTTCAGATTAAAAAATGTGTTTGTTTGTACCAATTTGCCTCTCTAATCTATTTGTAGTGGAAGTTTTCATGATTTTCATACACCTATGTTTTTACACTTCATATCATTGATTGGGCAGTTTTATTCCCAAAATCAATTTGTTTGGTTTTTGTCTTAACAGAAGCAAAAATAGGTTGGAGATATAATTAATTTATTCAGGCCCAGTGCTACCAGGTAGAAGAGGGACTTGGTTTTGGGAATACAGATCAAATGTTGATATGACAGAGTGGGAGGGCTTATCTTGGTATAAAAACAGATCCAGATCTAAGATGTCCTGTGCAGAACTGGGATTGGGACCATATTGATTAAGCCAGAGATTCTTAAACTGAAGCAAACATGAGTAATTAAAAAAAAAAAAAAGGAAAAGTTGTTTGCAGAAGGTCCAGCTCAGCTAACAATGTTCAGAAATTTCATAGAAGTTCTGATGTGTCTGTCTGTTTTCTAAAGCCTTGTCCAAACCAGAGGGGATTCTGGTAATTTGAGTGCTCTGAATATGCAATTTCTTGAACGCACTTCCTTAAGACTTACTAGAAATCTAGTAACCAATACTTAGAACCTGAATACAGGAGCATTGTCTTCCATAAGGACAGAGAATACTTTCTATAATATTCATTAAGCATTAACTATTTCATGTTTTTCTCTTGCATATGTCCTCATCCTCCCCTTTTGATCAATGATTATAAACCCAACAGACTGATGTTGGATTTCTGCCCTCTTTTTTTAAAGAGTGCTGAACTCTTAGATTGTTCAGTCAAGCCTCTCAAATAATTTTTAATGCAGATCAGAAAACATGCAGGACACTTATACAAAAATAAAATGCCTGGAAAAATTCAGGAGAGCCTGGCTGTCTCTAGGTTATGAAGAGACAAAAAAAATCCACAAAGAATAAATATACCTTACTGGGTATTTGGCTGCTTTAAAAACAGCACAGCAAATTGATCCAAAAGATCTTCAATTAACTCTTGCAAAATTTTAGGTATAAATTCATAGCAAACAATTTAATGTTCATTACTGCCCATGGATAATTTGGAATCTAGCAATAGTAGAAAACTATTGGCCTTGTATGAGGGTAGAGTAGCAAATTAGGTGTAGTTGTGCAGTGCAGTAAAGTGAGGCAAACATGCATGCAGAATGTGTTCATAATAAAGCCTGTGTTAGTTAAGTCTTTTTTCTTTCTCTTTTTTACTTTTTAAAAAAATACATGCAAAACTCTGCAGCTTTGCATGTATTTCCCCTTTTTGTTATTTCAGTTTCAGATTGTTACCTTTAGTGGTGTTAAGGATCTAGTATGGCATGATCCTGCAATCCTTGCTAGTTTGATTTCAGTGGAAGTTCTCCTTGATAAGAAATATGTCATCAGTTCTTTAACTGCCTTTCAAGGGAGGGACCCCGTTATTATGTGTGAGCATTCTTTTGTGCAGCAGTGGTGCTACATAAATAATACATCATAATGTTTGCTATTAAATTATTCACAGAGTCATAAGTCTCCCCTATTCAGAATTTCCTTTATATAGTTTAAATAGGTTAAAGAAGTTGTTATCATAAATAATGTCTCAGTCTGTGCCTACAGTGAATTTAGAAAATATTTTAAATATTTTTTCATTATTTGAAAGTAATCTGTTTCGAAGAACTTCCATGCTTCGTTTTAGTATGAACACTCTTCTTCAAGTACAGCAGACAGAAACAGAAGATAACATCTAAATTTGATGTCAACTACCATTCATTAAAAGTGAAAACTTTTAAGGAGTCTGAAAGTGAAGATGAACTTCAAATTCAGCTTTAAAAAATCTTCAGATAAAGCTGTGCTCTAAAAAGTAGTGGAGATTATTTATGTTCATCAAATTACTTGTATCCAAACCATGATACTTGACCTAAGTTACTATCTGTGAGTTAAGTTCTGAAATTATTTCCTTTATAGTCTATTTCTAGTTTGAAACCTGATAGAAGATATGCTAGTACTCGAGAGATGCTGTGTTGGACTGAAAATACTGGGAAATAAATTGAAAAATGTCCATCAGTACATATGTAGTGTAGTGTGTGTTCTATAATTTTGCCACCAGAATACTTTATGGAAGACTCTTAATCCTCATGTTTTCCAAGTCATGTATTTTTTATGATGAATGCACATAGCCAGAACTTAAAGGGATCCATAAATGTTATATTTTGGACACTTTCATTAGCTTGCTTTCTTGGGAGTGTTGTAACTGCTGTCTAGAACACTCTGTATGAGTTGTTTTATTGCACAAGTAATCCTACAGGTTTTGTGTCATTTTTAATGTTTGTATCAGCAGAGAAGGAACTGTCAGTACTGGAATACCAGAGAAAAAACTGGACATTTGGGTGACAAATAAGGTCATCTTAGTTCCTCTTTGTAGCTTATATTTTTGAATTTTGATATTATTAACAGCTTTTTCATGTGTTTTGTCAGGAAACACATGGCTGTCATCCTGCTACGTACCCACGTAAAGACAGAGTTGAAATTTTTGGGAGCTGTGTGATGCCAACAGGATTGGGCTCCCACCAATCTCTTTGCTGCAGCACCATGTGATGTCAGCCTGCTGTTAGATTTCTGCCAACCTTTAGGAAAGCATTCTTTATTTTGCTGCATGTTTAAGAAGTTCTTGTGTTTGAAATAACTGTAGTTACCAAATAGTGAAGCAGCCACAGTTAATCATTAGTCCACCATCAGTAAGGAAGGGAGGTGCTGGTTATGCTGAGTCCTATATCCACAAATATCCAGTCATATTTTAAAGCTGCTTTTGCAGCTTCACTGCAATTTCTGTCTTAACACTAGAGCTACATACAAGAGTTGAATTCACATGCAGCACTCCTTGAGATGATTATTTTAATGTGGCTGCAATCAATGTTTTTTTTCCATATTTAACTGGAGTTTGTTTGGGGATTCTTTCAGGAATGTAGAAATCTGCCTTAAGGGACAAACTTGGCCTAAGGATTATTAGACTAAACAAATTTTAAGCACAAAATTTATCTACAATTAACTTGACTGCTTGTAATGAAAAGATGGCTGAAACCACAGCCTTGTGATTTGATGCCTATGGTATCATAGGCATCAAATCACAAGGCTGTGGTTTCAGCCATCTTTTCAGCCTTGCACAGTGTGCAAGGTAAAGCATAAATTCTAAATAAAATCATTTTGCAAGCAGGTATCTTCAAATTAGTTAATAGCTCATAGTGCTTTCCAAAAATATCTTTAAAGCCATCCCAGACTGCATTTGTGAAAGAGGTATTTGCATGTTTATGCTTTTTGTTGTGTGTTTTATTTAGTTGATTTTTTAATGAAAAAAGCTTATTTGCTTGTCAATTTTTAATTGCTTTGACATTTTTTACTGCATTGTTACTCTGGATTTAAACCAATCAGTTGTGTTACTTAAATCAATTAGATGTATGTAGATCTATTAGATAGTACTGCACATTCATGCTCTTCTCTGCTTGGGGCTGTGTCTTGGACATTGGTGCATTTGTGGTTGAGAACAATCAGCTGAAAAGCCTTTTGTTTATTTTGCCAGACAGAGGGCAAGTGACCCTGAGAAGTTTGTGATGATACATATTTTACTCGCTTGGTTTTCAGTTCTGAGTATGAATGGGTAAAAGTTTTTGAGCCACTAATCCAGTAAATACAATAGTCAGGACTCCTTAAGAGTAGTGTCAGTATTGAATCCATGTCCTGCTCATATGGAAGCAAAGACAAGATGCAAGGGATGTGGTTTAATTAGACCTCAATTTTATTAGCTTAACCATCTGGGATTTACTGGCATAAATTTGTACAGTGGAGGTCAAGATCCTTTCTTTAATCATTTCCTTCTGGTGTAAGTTGCTATCAGTGCCCCATTCCCACACAGCTGGTCCCCAGCCTGTTATTGGGACTCCACTCTGTGTGCTTTTAATCCAAATGATAAGAGGTCTGGAAGAGAGATTGTCTCTTTGGTGTAGTTCAGGCATTAACCCCAAAGATAATCCTTTGCTTTTTTAAGAGTCACTTTCTCCTAACTTCGGTTTCCATTTCAGACTTTTAAAGCCAGCACGATGGTGAGGTTTAAAGGAAGGATAGAGTTCATGTTCCTGGTTTCTGCAGTTGTGGTAGAAGGCATAGAGCTAGG